AATGAAGAAAACAAATACGTTGTAAAAAGACACAAAACTCTGCACACAATACTAAAGATAAGCCACGTGCCAAACAAAGAACAAGGTTGAAGTCCATTGCATTATAATTTTAGTAAATTGTACTGCACTATTGACATCCATCGTTTTCATACGTTTATATCTTGTGGATCATTAAAAGCCATAAAGAAAGAAAAGATTATAAAATTACAAAAATACTACATCTCCGTGATTCTATACTATATACATATAGAGAGGTAATTTCACAGTTATAATGTTACTTTCATTCATTGTGCATTTTTCTGCATTCATATTTAAAACCGATCGATGCACGTAAATGTTGAAGTACTTATAAAAACGTTTATATTATTATCAGATCTTTTGGTGTCTTTGTGTACACTATATTAAATAAAATCTAACATTTTGGCAACCTTTTTTTTCTGTTTGTTGTCATATAATGTTAAACATTTGTAAAATCAGGCAAACACTCTAGTGAAATATCAAGATTGATATATACGTCAGTGAAAATTCTTTAATATTATTGATGCATGCTCTTACAGAAATTCCCATTTATAAAAGATCATTTTTATAAAGAAAAATCTCAGGAATGTAAAAGCCTCAAATGCCTTTTTTGTTACTGTTAGGAGGAATGAATGTTTCCTTACCAGTTTTTGTTTTGTATCTTGTTGCAGTTGTGATCTCGAGCGTACCCGTTGCATGTCTTTGTAAGAATAATGTGGCACGTGCATTGAATCTAATACAATAGGTTAAAATAAACCCAACGTGCTATCAAACTTTTTCAAGGAAATGTTCTAGAGTGTAGTTGTAAAATTTCGAATTATGTATAAATGAGTTGCAACAATGTAGCAAACACTCAATGATGTTCGACAAGTTTAAGACTTAAGCCTATTCTGACAATGTCGGACTAAATGGAAAAAAAAATTCTTATGAATTCTAACACTTCTATGTTTTTGATTGACAAATGTTTGTATTTGGTAGATAGATTTTTTACCGATCCCAACAGGAAATACAAAGAGGATGGTATCACCAAAATGCTAGACTTTTCAATGGAAAAAATATTTGTTGCGTTTGGATGATCCATAATGTCACAGTCGGTATTTCAATGAGTACTTATTGTGCTCCTCAACTGGCCGATTTTTGTTGTGCTCGTGTGATGAAGAATACAAACAGAACCTTCTACAAGACAAAAACAAAAAACAAAAAAAAAACTGGCTAAGTTCTTTCATTTCCCTTTTAGTTATATTGATGATGTCCTTTCACTCAACAACCCACATTTCCGTATGTGCTTGCATCTTAAATATCCATGTGAACTTTAGGATACTATTGAAACCGGAAGGTCTAAGTCATATCTTGATGTTTTCCTCTATATTGACACGTATGAACGACTTCAAACTAGATTCTATCATAAACGTGATGAGTTTAGAATTGTCAACTTCCTATATATTAGTAGTACACGCAACGTGCTCTCTGTCCCATCGTATGGCGTTTACATACCATTATTAACGCGTTACGGTCGTGCTATATAAAATTCATTAAAAGGGGTTTGCTTCAAGTACAAAAAACAACACCAACAGAGTTGTGAGGAAGAACAACTGATATCGATACTACATATGAGTTTTATTGTCAGCTTCACGAATTTGTCGACCGATACGATGTGTCTGTGTATCAACTCCCAAGCGACATGTTCACGACCTCACATATTTAGATACGAGAACAGTTGTCTGATCTGTTAATTTACTCACAGTGTCATATTCTCGATTGTGACATTTTCATTGAGTGTAAACTCGCATGGCAACTGATGCATACATAGCAGGATTCTTTTATTATGTCAAGGAACCCCTTCTCGGTCCCTTTTGGAGTTCATGCAGTTCTTTTTGTACCTTGATTTGTTTTTTTTTTGTCATGGGTTTATGATATTTGAACTTAGATTTCGTAAATCAATTTAAGAAAAAAAACAAAACAGATTTTTCCAAGTTGGTGTATAATAAGTAAAAAAACATGTCCTTCTCATTGAAATCAATTCAATCAAATTAAAGACGCATTATATAATGTACATTTGAAATACACTGACGTTTTAAATCCTTTTTCGCTATAAATTTAGGGTTTGCTAATATCTCGATGCATGCACGGTTGGTTCAAGATTTGATGGGTCCCGTTTTTATGCTGCCAAACTTGCTTTCAAAGGTTTTGCATTCGACTCTATCGGATCAGGGTTAATCTAGCAACATTTTTATAGTCCACAAGAATATTGAGTGTTCCGTTTTCATAAAATGCTGCATCCAAATAATGCTATAAAAGATCGATATGCGAGTTGTATCTTGTTGCAATGTTCGGAAAACTATAAAAAAAAATATATGACAAACTTTTCTCAACATTCAGTAAATAGATATTTTTCTGAAAATTGAGGATGTCGTAGCAAATGACGTTCGCAAATCTCAGTTGATATGATTCGGAAGGAAAGCATATCCGGTTTTTTTTTTTTATCTTCCTTCTGTTTTGTTAATGAATATATAAGGACTAAAATATGATATATAGAAATCTAATGATAAAAGACCTATATCCAAAGAGATTTAACGTTTAATGTGTATTAATTGTATAAATTTAATGCATATTGTAGTTTAGTTACACAACATACAATGTAGTATTGTTCTAATAAAATAAATCAATATAGACACTATTCTGTGTCAGGGATAAAACCTTTACAGTAGCAACATTGAAATATGCGGGTTAAATACAGAAATGATGGTAAAATTGTGTGATCGTACTTTTAAAACGTGACCCTGTTAGAAACATATCGTACTTTTTTCAATTAAAAAGAATAAAGGTTAGTTCAATTGCAATTCCTTATGCTAATAAAGACTTTGCGGAAACTTATATCAGTTTTCTTTAACACTGTTTATTTATGAGGATTAACATATTTTGATAAAAGAAAGGCGTAAGATACCAAAGGCATATTCACACTCAGAAGGCGAAAACAAACTGACAACGCTATGGCAAAAAACAAAAATGAGGGAAAAAAAACAACAGTACACCAAAATACAACAGAAAAAACGAAAGACTGACAACTACCATTTCACAATGAAGTTCAACGAGGAGAAATACCTTCCAAAATGCCGGTTGGATTTTCATATCTCGTGTGTGTTGGTCCATTACCTTGAAACGTTATCGATTACCGAAATACGGTTGAAACAGTATTTATATTTATTGAAAATACAGAATCGCTTTAGCTTTTTTTAATTGCTGTATGAAAAAGTGTAAAATAATTGTATGCAAACCATATAAACATTCCATATAAATACAGAGGAAAAACGAATGAACATCTTTGAGCTTTGACTGCACATTAAAATGTTATAACACATTTGATTCAAAATACAAGATTGTACTGGTGTATCATATGCAAAATGGATACGATATTTTTGTTTATTTTCCTTAGCCAATTTTAATGTGCCTGTTCGTGGGTGTTTAATTTCTTTTTATGGTTAGTTTTTTTTTTTTTTTTTTCTGTGGTTTTGCATTAAATGTGTTTTCCTGTGATTTTGCATTGAAATGATTTCCTGTGATTTTGGCTTTTTCCATTTACTTTGTTCGTAAACATTAGATGGAAGAATTTTCAACGCTTGGTATCCTGGTTTTCATTCCATAAATAACTGTATCAACTTCACAAATAAAACATGATGGTCTTGAAGTATAGATTCTAGGTACTGACGTTGTTTGTCATCTTAATTACGTGTTATTGTGTTCTCTTTATTTGTCTTTGCATATATTTTTAACCTCTTAGTCCATTTTTGGTAATATCTTTTTGGAGTGGCTCGGTATTTATACATCCCGCCATTGTGTTATTGTGCTAAGGTCATTTTTTGATTCTTTCTTTCATTTTTGCGTATGTGCTTTGTTTATAGAGTGTCTTTATACCATTGTGTTTTTCTTTGTTGACATAGTTGTTTGTTTTTATAGTGATTAGGATTATAACACAATGTTGACTGCTGTACCCAAATTTTTTTTTTTTTTTTTTTTTTTGCTCACACATTGTTGTCAATATAATAGAATTTTATGCAACTGTCGTACAAGTGAGAGGTTTAGCAAGCTATAAAACCAGGTTTAATCAACCATTTTCTACATAAGAAAATGGAATATATTACGCTTATCTTGTCGACCCATTTGGTGGCGGTATTTTTGCAGTTCGGGAGATTCCCTTATTTAGATCATCATTAAACTACAGTTGCTAATCGGTTACACATTATTGAGTATAACCTTAAATTTATGAAACAATTTATATTTTCTTTCTTAAAGTTTTGATCTGCCGTCACTTGTTTACAAGAAATCTTTTGACTAAAATCGACTTTGATGATGTCCTATTGGTTAAACAGTTAAGATTCGCAAATGGTATATATTGCAATCTATGATCATTCTTTGTGGTATTTTTTATTGTTTTGGCTTTAATATTGCTGTGGTTTGTTCATTATATTGAAACTATTGAGTCTTTAACAAAATTAAGATGAATGACACTGGAATTTAGTAGTAACTTATCAAACATGTTAACAATTTCATCTTACATGTATAGGTAAATATACAACATGTAGTATTAAATATACAAACTTATGACAAAAATGATATCCCTTAAAACGTGAATTAACAGCAATACTACAACGTGTCCTACAATAAATACGCCAATTCTATTTGACAGTCTTATCTGATAAAAGGTTAAACTTTAAACTTGACGAATTGAATCCATAGTTAAGTTGTACATGATCAGAATAAAATCAGATTTCAAGAATGTCACAAGATTATTTTGGTTAATTTTTCTGCATTGTGGTTTTCGATGGATTTCGTTTTTAAAACATATTTTCTGTGATCTTTTCCTATTTCTGAAATTCAACCTTGAACTTTAGTTAAGTATCTCAATCGTAAATTTTGTGGTGCATGAAACTAATTCTTCAAGTAGTTGTTACTTATCGAAAAACGAAGCGATGTGAATTAATGTACAATTAGTTTTGTCTGAGAGTTTTTATTGAATATAGAGAATGACCTAAGCAGTATGGTAGTTTACAAATTTATGATAATGATACCCAAAACATATAAAAAATATGACGTATTTACATTCAACATTAAACTTCATTTAAACACGTGAATGATAAATTAAAACTTTTGTTAATAATAGTTAGTGAATATTTACACAATTCAGGACGCCTGTTCAAGCTGATAACTTTCACAAAATAAAAGGTATTATCTCCGTTATACATAGATATAAGAAGATGTGGTATGAGTGCCAATGAGACAACTCTCCATCCAAGTGAAAATTTATAAAGGTAAACCATTATAGAACCTTTGCTCACACCGAACAGCAAGCTATAAGCATGTAAATATGTCACAAGCAAGACGACAGGTGCAATAAGTTGGACATATTTATCTTCGCACATAATTGTGTTCATTTATTGATCTGTCAAATCTGGTGTTAAAATGTTTTCCATCTAAGTTTTCATGCGTGGTATTTGGAATTATTGTTATTTGCCATTTTACCTTTTATCTCTTTGCGTTCTTGTGTTACATGTCAGTCCTTCAATGACTTATGATACGTATTTCACGCTTTGCATATACGGTAGTGTACGGAGTAATATTTGGATTATATTAATGATTTCACGTATTGTATATTAGCATAATGATATGAAAACTCATTTACACTGGTTATTAATAAAAAGAAATAACATCTGAAAAGGAATAAATATCTGATCAGCATTCAATGAATAGTGTCTCCTTTCGATGTTTCGGCTTGATCGGTACTTCCTTCATTTGCGTCACCGTTTTTGAACTGTTTGTCGTTTTTTTTTTTATTTCTTTCTCCATCCACTTCTTGATTTTCTTCTCTCTCAAATGTTTGATTTGTGTACGAGTTTGTCTGATCATTTCTTATTGAAGATTCTGGATTGCCATTGGTATGCTGTTCCCTGCATAAAAGAGACGAGTTTGCAAATGTTGTCTAAAGTCAAATGAAGCATACCATATACATGCATTATGATATCAAATTTGAATGTATGTTTTGTATTGTATCAGCACTTTCAACCGCTATTACACATTTTTGCAATGAATTATGTAATTCAACTGTAATATATATTACAAATATTTGAAATGGATTACGTTGGTATTTATTTGTCGAAATACTATGTTTACCAGTGGTGTATGTTTGTAAGCAACCCACATATATATTGTTCGTTATCAGCTACATTTGTAGTTTGCATTAGAAGATACAAATTTTTTTAAATCACTTTTTTGTTACTGACAAGTTTATAAGATATCATGTTGATATTCGTTCGTTGGAAATCGTCATACAAATAAAAAATGTCAAAGGAGTGTTAACTCATCAGAGACATGTTCATGATGGGTTTAAATTTGCCTTTTGATTAGGATTTGTTGAATATGGCTAATATACTACAAATTTTAGATAGAAATAATTGTGGTATAAATAATACTGAAAATTTAGAAATTATTCCGTGCATTTAATATTGGGAATTTTGTAGAATATACAATGGTATGGGTTTTGCTCATTGTTGAAGATCGTATGGTGACCTATATTTGTTAATTTGTATGTTATTTGGTGGGTGGTGGGTAGTTGTCTCATTGGCAATGATACCACATCTTCTTATTTTTATATAAAAAGGCGAAACTAATAATTGCGATTTCAGGAAAATCTGAATACAGTTATGTGTATCAGATAAAAAAATGCCAGTTCTTATTATTGCGATACGCATACAGTCACATTATTCACATTTATAAAAACATCGCAATAATATCTGAATTTACAGTAATACAAAATATCTTCTATTGGCATATCGATTTTTTATCTTATTATCCCTAAAGTATGCAGTATTTATGTCGTAACATCAGTTTTTTTCATTTTTTTATAATTTCATATACAAACAGTTGTTTGTATGAAAATAAGGAGATGTGGTATAATTGCCAATGAGACAACTATCCAACAGAGTTTAAATTACGTTGATGAAAGCAATTATAGATCATCGTACAGCTTCAACTATGAAAACTCCCATACAGTAAAGTCAGCTGTTAAAGGCCCCCGACATAAACTAGAGGCTCTCAAGAGCTTGTTTCGCTCACATGTATCTACTGTTGTTTTGGAAATCATGTAAAATAAGGTTAAAATCATAATTTATAGTATTAGATACCCTAATAATGATTGAGGCCAAGTTTGGCTTAATTTGTGACTTACAATAGTTACTGAAGACCCCTTATCATTATTTAAATTAGTTTTCAAGTTGTGACCATTTGAATTTTTTTTTTTTACAATTTTCTCTTAGACTTCTATAGTAAACCCCTATGTTCTATTTTGAGCCATGGCCGCCATGTTGGTTGGATGACAGGGTCATCGGAAACATTTTTCAATCAAGATACCCTATTGAAAATTGTGGCTAAGTTTAATTCTATTTGGCCTAGTAGATTAAGTGAAGAAGATTTTTGTAAACGATTACAAAAATTTACGAAAAATTGACTATAAAGGGCAATAACTCTTTATGGGGTCAATTGGCAATTTTGGTCATATTGACCTATTTGTAGATCGTATTTAGCTGAACATTATTGTTGTTCACAGTTTATATATATCTAACATAATATTTAAGATAATAAATAAAAACTGCAAAATTTCCTTAAAATTACAAATTCAGGGGCAGCAACCCAGCAACGGGTTGTCTGATTCGTCTGAAAATTTTAGGGCAGATAGATCTAAACCTGATGCACATTTGTTCTCAGTCAGATTTGCGCTAAATGCTTTAGTTTCAGAGATACAAGCAGAGAACTGCATTTTACACCTATGTTCTATTTTTAGCCTGTCGGCCATGTTGGTTGGCAGGCGGGATCATCTGACACATTTTTTAAAACTAGATACCCTTATGATGATTATGGCCAAGTTTGGTTAAATTTGTCTCAGAAGTTTCAGAGGAAAAGATTTTTGTAAAAGATTACAAAAATTTACGAAAAATTGTTAAAAATTTACTATAAAGGGCAATAACTCCTTAAGGGGTCAACTGACAATTTTGATCATTTAACTTTTTTGTAGATCTTACTTTGCTGAACATTATTGCTGTTTACAGTTTATTTCTATATATAATTATATTCAAGATAATAACCAAAAACTGCAAAATTTCCTTAAAATTACCAATTCAGGGGCAGCAACTCGACAACGGATTGTCTGATTCGTCTCGTCAGATTTGCTCTAAATGCTTTAGTGTCAGAGATATAAGCCAACAACTGCATTTTACCCCTATGTTCTATTTTTAGCCATGGTGGCCATGTTGGTTGGCAAGCGGGGTCATCGGACACATATTTTAAACTAGATACCCTAATGATGATTGTGTTTAAGTTTGGTTAAATTTAGCCCATGGTTTCAGAGGAGAAGATTTTTGTAATAGTTAACGACGGACAACGACAGACGACGACGGACACCAAGTGATGAGGAAAGCTCACTTGGGCCAGGTGAGCTAATAAGATACTGTTAAAAGAAAAAGAAATAATGGCTTTGGTGTATAACCAGGTCTGTAACATGACAAAAAGAAAATACTGTTAAAAATCTAAAAATGAAGCTTTATTGAATCCACCAAGGCCGGTATAAGTTGAAAATGCCTTAAAATGTTTTTTTTTGGGGCACCCTTTAAAAACAATTTTGGCAGGGGTTCCCCAGACCCCGGCTTACCCGCCAGGTCTGGGGGGCATTCACCCAATATAAGTATGCTGAAAGAAATGGGCATTTACCCATTATAAGTATATGCTATTAATTCCATTTGGTCCAGTAGATTAAGAAGAGAATATTTTTTGTAAAAGATTACAAAGACTTAAAAAAAATTGTAAAAAAATGACTTTAAAGGGCAATAACCCCTTAAGAGGTCAATTTTTGTGATGGTGACTTGTTTGTAGATCTTACTTTACTGAACAGTCTTGCTGTTTACAGTGATCTCTATCATTAAAAATATTCAAGATAATAACCAAAAACTGCCAAATTTACTTAAAATTACCAATTCAAGGGCGGCAACCCAACAACTGGTTGTCTGATGCGTCTGCAAATTTCAGGGAAGATAGATCTTGACCTAATTAACATTTTTACGCCATGTCAGATCTGCTCTAAATGCTTTAGTTTCAGAGATCAAAGCCAACAACTGCATTTTACCTCCATGTTCTTTTTTTTAGCCATGGCGGCCATGTTGGTAGATGGGCAGGGTCATCAGATACAAATTTTAAACTAAATATCCTAGGGATGATTTAGGCCAAGTTTGCTTTAACTTTGCCCAGTAGCTTCAGAGGAAAAGATTTTTGTAAATGATTACAAAAATTTACGAAAAATTGTGAAAAATTTAATATAAAGGGCAATAACTCCTGAATGGGTCAATTGACAATTTTGATAATTTGACTTATTTGTAGAACTTACTTTGCTGAACAATTTTGCTGTTTACAGTATATCTCTATCTATTATAATATTCAAGATAATAACCAAAAACTGCAAACTTTTCTTAAAATTACCAATGCAGTGGCAGCAACCTAACAACGGATTGTCTGATGCGTCTGCAAATTTCAGGGCAGAAGGATCTTGACCTTGCTCTAAATGCTTAAGTGTCAGAGATATAAGCCAAAAACTGCATTTTACCCCCATGTTCTATTTTTAGTCATGGCGGCCATCTTTGTTAATGGTCGGGGTCATTGGATACATTTTTCAAAATAGATACCCTAATGATGATTTAGGTCAAGTTTGGTTTTATTTGGCCTAGTAGTTTCAGAGGAGAAGATTTTTGTAAAAGTTAACGGACAACGACGGACGACGGACAACGGACGCCAAGCGATGAGGAAAGCTCACTTGACCCTTTTGGTCAGGTGAGCTAAAAATGTGAAACAATTCAAAATAGAAAACTAACGGTGTGACAACCACTGAATTACAATATCTTGATTTAGGACAGGCACATACAGAGTGTGGCGTGGTTAAATAAGCTTGTGTGTTTTCAACCTCCCCTTACCTGAGCAAATGGCGAAACAGCACAACATAAGAACAAACCGTAAAAATCAGATGCAAAAGGGTTAATTCTATACGAGTGCTCGCTCTTACTGAAAGCTAGTTAAAATCCAATTGAAACTAATAAATAAGTCATGTTTTCCCATACTAAAGTATCAATCAGTACACAACCAACTGATTTAGTGTAGGGACTTAACATATGTAACTTCAGCTACAGCCCCTGATTCAGAAACTTGTCGTGTCTAGGGAGTCCATAATGACCTTGGTACATTTCGATTACAATAACATTTGGATCACATGATCCGGCTAAGATTTCCTAAAGCTTTGAAAATATCTCCTTAAATGTGCTGACTTTGGAGCATATACTATACTATAATGATGAGATGTGTCTTACTGTGCGCACATGTATATGAATATATTCATTTAACATCCAAAGTGTGACTTTTGATTTTTGTAATCAATTTAAAATTCAAGAGCCATTTTGTGGAAAAAAAATAACCGGGTCTTTCGACAAGATGTTAAAAGTGTAGTAAATATTGTTCGATGTTGAAAATTACATTCAATCTTTTTATCTCTACTCATTGATAATACTTATTTTTATATCCCATGGGCATATCAAGCAGCTTAATTAGAAGTAAACATTTGGCAATATTATTTTTGCAAACTCTCAACAAATTATACGTCGACCATTTTTGGTCAAAGCGTTATTGATGAAGATAAACCTAGAAGGCGCATTTTACTCAACAATTTGTTTTGTTGTTATTTGAATTTGCATTTAAGAATATACGCTTTTTTTATTCTTAACTCTGGTGATTGTTCCGAGAATATAAAATTAAGTACGGCATAGTATACAATTCCAGTTTACATTTCAATTCAATTGTGTCGTGTAAGAATATGTTTTAGTAAACTTTCATGGAAAGGGTTTTTAAGATAGTCTCAAGT